TGCGCTTCCGCCCAAATCCCTTAAAACCTTAAATAAGCAGAAACTTTGCTCCCACCAGGCTGGTGGCAGGCGGGAGGATCATTCCTTAATTTTGTAGGAATGGCCGGGAGCGCTTGACTTTGACTTTGGCTTCGGATTTAAACTGCTCTCGACCTTTGTCAAAAGTTTTGAGGCTGAAAACTTTGTGGCAAAAATCAAACTGTGTATAATGATGAATGCGGCCAGCACTTCGTGGCCTAACGCCTGCCCGCTACACCCTAGGCTCTTGTCTCATGGCTCATGGTATGTGGGCCTGGTTATGGTCCTGAATAATTAACGCATCGCTGGACATCGCATCGTATCCTATCGACTGTGCATTTCCGACCGGTTTACATTTCGATTTTGCTGTTTTCTGGTGGATTTTTATGCCTTTCCTTTCTGTTTTTGTCAGCACTCGTTGACCCTCGCGTGTCGCTGGGCAATTTATGGATTTTTACGAAATTTATTTGGGGTCGGGTCGGGTCGGGTCCACTGATTTGGGTTCGCCGAGATTTATACTGCAGTTGTTTCCTGGATCGTGCCGCCTTATTAAGGCTCATTAAGGCTACCTCTGGCGTTGAAGTTCAGGCCAAAAAAGTTCTCAAGTCCAGGCATTAAAATATAAATATCATCAGCATTTCTCATGAAGAAACTGGGGCGCGATTTACTGTCAACGGCTGCCAACAACAAGGATGATTCTTCATAAACTCATAAATTTAGTGAAAAATGGCAAATCGATTCCGTTCCTTTGCGGTCATTGTTATTACAAAACTGTCAGAGCAGAGCCCAAGTGGAGACGCCAGAGTGTCTGGGGCCGGGTCCGGGTCCGGGTCCTTGGCCGGGTGCCCAGGACAAGTGTAGGGCAAATGCATCCGATTCTACGTTTGGGGCCAGCTTCGCAAATCCCTTTTGATAAAGTGCTTTCTTTCGGCAGACCTCCGGCACCCAGCATCCAGCATCCAGCATCCAGCATCCAGTGACTGGCAAGCTGAAGCGCTTTTCCTCAAGTGTCGCATTATGGCCATTCTCGGAGGCAACGCCTCGGTGGCTCCGCAGTTTCCAGCTCAGTTCGTTTTAGTGGCGGATTTGGCAATGGAAGGCGACCAGATTTATGCAGCTGCTTTCATGCGTAATTATTTGCTGACATCTTAATAGTTTTTCCAAGCCGCTTTGACTTTTATTTGTGCAACTTTACAGCCGAACAGCCAAAATAGCTGACAATCGAATTGGCTCTGCTTGAAGCAGAGGGGAGGGTGCGGGAAGTGTATTGCAAAGTAAGCTTCATAAATATTTCAAATCCTACACTTAGGCATAATTGTTTCGCGGAAGCATCCCATTTTTATTTGCCTGTTTGTGATCCGCAGCTGGCATCTGTCACCCACACACTCACACTCACACTCACATATTTGTGCCCAGAATTTAGGGAACGTGTGGAAAGTATTTTTAATGGTCTCTTCCGTTTAACGACATTGCCAGAAGCACCATAAATAATACAAATAATAGGAAACGCACAAATATAAAATTCGTTTTCGTTGTTCGAAGCGCGCTCCTAGGTGCCGCTCCTGGGGCCGCTCCTGGTGCCGCTCCTGATTCTGGTTTTGGTTCTGCCACTGCCTCTCATGTAGCTCTGGCAATTTGTCGTGTGAGCAACTTTTTGATAGGCCGCACCACGCTTGGGCCGATAAACCCGGCTCTCTTCCTCGTTTCTCCATTTCGCTTTCCACTCTGCTTTCACTCTGCTCTCTCTTTTCCTTTCTCTCTCTCTCTCTTTTTCTTCAGGGCAAACCAAAAACAAGCTTAAGTCCTTGTCGTCCTTGGCGAGGCGACACCACCTTGGGGCTTTTAAGTTTGACGCTCGTTTATAGACTTTGCACACTTTGCATTTACTTTAGGGCGCCGCTGATGCGGCTGATAATAAGACCGCGCGGCACGGTGGGGTGAGGTGCGGCGTATGCGCAATGCCTGCAAAGCCACGGCCCCAAAACACTGGGAAACAATGGAAAAAAAACGAGAGTTGAGCAAAAGTTTTTACAGCCCGATACACACACGCCTCGGAGACACCTAGGCCAGCCAGCCTCAGTTCCCCACCAAATTGGAGATGGAACTTGGTTCTGGGTCTGGGATTCAGCTTCCGGCTCTCGAGCATTGCTTTTGTTTTTACCGAAGCTTGTTTTATAACTTTTTGATTGTCTTTGCGCCAAATTTGTGCAAAATTGTTCAAAGTCCTGTTCCGAATTCCGCTCACCTGCGGCTGGCTTCAGCAAATTGTGGACATGAGGGGGGTTTGGCAGGCTCCGCGAGTCTGGCTGCCATGTGCGAGTATAATATTTGCCTTAATCTGATTTCTGCCACTCAACTTAACTTCGACAGCAGAGAGAGAGAGAAGTGGGCATGGGTGGAAACTTTGCCCGTGGCAAAAGCAACAATTTATGGACCGCTTACAATATTTATTTCGATTGGAAAGGCCAAGTTTTCTCTGCGTTTTTCTTTCGAGTGGAGAGTCCATTAAAGTGCAATGTCAAACGGCTGTGGCTGTGGATGGAGTCGAGGCTGTAGCTGTGGCTGTAGCCGGGGCCCGAAGGGCAGACTGCTAAAAAAAACTTTCATTAGATATGCCAAAAGCGTCTTTGCACAGCACGTTTCCCCCTCGCCCAAGGAGAAGGAGGAGCTGGCTTTGTCAAAGTCGTCACATGTCATATGGCAGACAGGCAGGCGGCCAGGGACGGCACGGCACGGCCACGCAGTCAGTTAGTCTGCTGCAGGCTATAAGGGTCTCTCCTCCGATCTGTCGTTGCCTGTCGCCTGTGTGATGTGTGTCCCCACACAGACAACTACATTTACATTACATGCACATCTCTGGCTAGCCCGCGGGGCAGGAGCAGGAGGAGGAGCAGTAGCAGAAGCAGGGACAGCCCTGCCATTGAGGTTGCACCGAGTGCACACACTTGCCTTGTTATGGTCGTACCATTCGCATTTGCCACTGCCAGCCACTGCTGGGGCTCACAATTATTACATTTGTATGGACATGTGGCCACATTAAGTATACAACGCGAAGGCCAGCCATTGCCTCAGGCTGTTGCCTCTCCTGCTCCTGCTCCTGCTCCTTCCCCTTCTCTGCAGCTGTCGTCGTCCTCGTCGCTGAAGTGGCTGTTAGCCAGTGGCTTGACATAATATTTATTCAAATGTAAATTTCATGATGCAGTTTACTGTTTAGTTAGTCAAATTGATTTATGTTTTGCTTTAATTTCGAAATGAAATGCGCCATCATTCCATCAAGAGCAGTGCAAACAGTGAACGAGTTGGTTAACGGCAGGAAGGAGCCTTCGATGCGAATCGCGTATTCCCGTCACGTGCGCCTTTTGTTGCTTGTGTAAATAAGTGTTCGGCAGACTTCACAACTCAATTAAGCCGTCAGCCGAGTACCGACTGTGAGTGCAAAAGTGCGAGTGGCCCTACTAATGAACTACACTCCACTCTGCACCGTTGCGTTCCCAGCACCCAACACCCGGCACTCGCCCAATAAATAATTCAATCAGAACAATTTCAGTACAGAAAATCAATAATAATCGCATCAAGTGTCTTCGGGCAGTTTCGATTACACTTTCCGGAGCTGTACCAGAAGCTGAGGAAGTGGAGTCGGAGATGGCAACGTGTTTAAATTCTTAAGAGCTCAACCAACCACTCAACAGCCGAAGCTGCTAATCTTTGCGGGTCGGGGAAACTTTTCCCTTCACTGGCATCGCTATGGTCGGCGGGTGGGATGGTCTCCATAAAGATTCATTTCGTTTAATGACTTGAAATTGATTTCACTGTGGCATCGGCGCATTTTATATGACGCCACTCCATGTATCCTTGCTCAGCTCCTTTGCCGAAGCTGTGAGCTGTGAGCTGTGAGCTGCGAGCTGTGGGCTGGGGGTAAAATGGCAAAAACGTGCTTTACGACACGATGATCTCCTTTGGGTTGGAGCTCCAGCCGCGCTCCTTTGGCGAATTAATTTTTCAGCAATTACGTTGCCAGCGACAACGTGTAATAGATTCAATCCAGGAGTCAGGGAGTCAGTTAGTCAGAAGCCAGGATCCAGTGGAGTGGGATACTTTGAAGCGCTCCTTAACCGCGCTGTTGTGTTTTATGAGCTGCTCATTGGGTTTTTGATTAACTTTTTCCCGAAATGAAGCTGTAATGAAATTGAATTTTGTGGCATACTTCCCGCCGCTCATTGGGTCGTTAATCAAATCAAATTGCCAAAGGCAATTCCCATTAGCAGTGACATTTCGCATTCATCGCCTTGCAAGTGCTGCAACTGGGCCAGCTAACCATTTACAATTTATTAAAATTAAACATGTAAACGGGTAGAACAGCCAAGGACATGGCATGGGCACTGGGCACTGGGCACTGGCACTCCCTCCCACACCCATTCAGACCGTGACGGTACGAGTATGTTTATGGAGTAAATAATCGAAGCGTGCACCATGAATTATTCATGAGACTTATGGAAAAGCAGGCACCAGCAGCAGCAGCAGCAGCAGCAACAGCAACAGCCACAGCAGCAGCCAGAGCTGGCAGGTGCTGAGAATGTGTCCGGCTGCTGCCCCTGCCCCAGCCCCATGTCCCAGCTAGTGCGTGACATTCGACTCTTTTCAGAGTCGAGTCGGCTGCTGAAATGCCTGTGCTCCATTTGCAATTAGCCAGCGGCAGGTTTGCTCTCAACTTTTTTTGCATATGCAAACCCCCAAGTTAAATGCCAAAATTGTAAAAATAAATTTGTTGGGTAAACTTGAGAAAAACTATTCATAGAATATTGATCAGCCCAGCCCAGGATGCTTGGCCTGAGTCTGTTGTTGTTCCCAACCGAAATTCTTGATAATCCATTCCGCAATCAAAGTTTAAGGACGAAAAGCGAAGAGCAATCCACAATCCAAAGCCACAAAATGGGAAACCGAAACATGATTGCGTGATTTCATTTGGCATGCATTCTACTTACTTATTGGCTTTGTGTGTAGTAATCCTAAAAGTAAAACGATTATCCAAAACCTATGCATATTTCTGTATTTGGTTTGTTCCAGCTGAAATGGCAAATCGTCGCACAACTTGCAGCACCTCCCCTCTGCAATGGGGCTTAAATTTTGGGTTGGGCTTTTGGGTTCGGATTAGGTTTTGCAATTGAATTGGTTGTGGATTGGATTTTCCTCAAAAGCACACACAACTCTTGAAACACAACGCGCTGTTGGCCATCGATCAGGCCTCTTCTGATTATCTTCACAAAATCACGGGCAACACTTTCTCGAGTTGCACCAAATCGGTGGCTTGTGGTTTCTGGTTTCGCTTTTGGGGTTCTACTTTGGCACCACCTCGCAAATATCGATCGCAGAGTTACATGTTTGATTCACCGGATTGATGCACGCGCGCAGTTAAATAACTTGGGGAGATCGCATCGCGCATCCCCGGGAGGTAGGGATTCGGGTGGGGGGGCTGGTAGTTGTCCTGCCAGTCACTCACTCACTCTCACTTACTTGCACTTGCACTTGCACTGGCACTCTCACTCGTCTGATTGATTTCGCACTCGGAAATTTCACTTTCGCACTACACTATACAACAGGCTTGCGGAGCTGTCGAGTGACTCCGGACTGAGGATGGATCCGGGGCTGGTTGCATGCGCGCACTTGTTGTGCTCGTCGCAAGCGTTTATCCTAGACTGAAGTGGCAGGCGGAACGAAACAGAACGCACTGCCAGCCTGGAAAATCGACGGGCTAGGATACTCGCACAACGAAGACGCCTCCACACCACCCGCCAACGTGGGAGTCGAGCCGTTCCAGGAAAGTGCACACACCCCACGAGTACCCGAGGCTCGAGAGAGCGAAAGCTCAGGACGGGCGAAGCTTTCGCTCTCAGTTATCCGGCCAGTTGTTGCGCTACGGCAACAGTTCTTTGGCCTGGTCCCCGCCCCACGCCGCTTCCAGGGAACCCCCCTCTCTCCCGGAGTGCCCACTGAATCAACAGGCTGCTCGCAGGCCCAGGCCTCTTGGCCGCCGTACGACTAGGTGTGAGTGCGGCCAAAGCAGCCGCTTTAAATGCATTAAGTGTGGCCTGGCGCCTGGTGCCTGGTACCGTTGATGGCACGTTCGGAAAATGGCTGTGTATTTTTTTTAATTAGTTAAGCAGTTGACTTTAATGGCTCTCTCTCTCTCTCTCTCTCTCTCTCTCTCTGTCTCAATTGTGCAGCACACTATTATATTTCAAATTTGATAGGAATAAACATAGCATAAAAGTGGGTTAAAGACGTTTCTTTCTTTGAGTTCTTTGAATTTAAAATCCAGACAAACGAATGACATTCTACCCGTATTCTGTAGTCAACTTCCTCCGCAGTCCATGATTGTTTGTGAGTATAACCTTTGACAGCCCATTACTCATTCCCACTGATGTATGTACGTAGATGTTGACAGGCATCCCACGGTCCTGCCTACGGAACTGCCTCAAGGCCTGCCACTGTGACTGCCATTGTGGCTATCTTGAGATGTTTCGCGTAACATTTAAGTTTTGATGGGCCAAATGAGCACGGAATTATTTATGCTAATTAACCATTTAAGTCGTCCCACATAGAGACCCACGCGTGTGGCCTTGGATCCAGCGCAGATCTATCTCCGGCACGTGTTTTACCTGGTGGCGGTTTGCGTTTTATTAGATTTATACTTTTTAAATTAACGACAGTGCCCCACCATGGCGGCTGGCCGTAAACTTTTATGCCCGGCTCAACCGCAAACAGAGGGGAAGACTGACCCGAACGAGGATCAGGACGACACCCCTATTGACAGCGGGGCAGTACGACCTCTCGCATATCCGCTGTATGGTCATTTAATTTTCGCCGCGTCTGTCCACTTTTAATTACAAACAATCAAATCTGTTTGCTTTTGTTTCCTTCTTTCCGCGACGACAGCAAACATCAACCCCCTGTCCATGTTATGGTCGTAGTCCAAGCTGTGGTCCGGCTGGATGCCGGACATGGGCCACATCATTGTCATAGCTTCGGTGACAAGTGAACAGCAAGGTCTCTGGACAAGGTTTCTGTTTCTGCATTGTGCACTGACCAGGCCAGGCCAGGCCAGGCCAAAGCCGCTCAGCGGCGAGTGTGTCTGCGTGTGGGTTCGGGTTCGGGCCAGTCCAGGCTGTCATCATTAGGGACCACAACAGAAAAGTTGACATTGCGCTAAATGGGAACACGGTCGGTCACTGCTCGGTCCCCACTTCTTGTTTGTTTTTGTTTTGCGCTTGTGTATGTGACATAGATTCTGTCTAACGTATTAAGTCATAAAAGGCGTGGCCTCTGCTAATTTGAGCAATAATTTAGGCGACCCATCGTTGAGGGAAGCATACAATAAGCCAGCAAAAATGTAGCCAGGATTTCCTGACTCTCTTGCCTGACGCTCATCCCTGTCTGATCATTCGCATTTGTAATACCGATTTAACTAATTGGAGAATGCTCTAAAAAGGTAGTGAAATCCATGAAATGGAATACCCCACGTTTTGCATAAAGCTGAAAATAAACTAGGAAAACACATCATTTCACAAGCCCCGTCAGCACTCGGTCAGGGCCATAGCCATACCCGACCGTACACGCTGTACAAATACGAGTTTTCTGTTAGTTTTCCTGGTCGTCTGCACGGAGCGTGGAAAATGGGAAAATTCGAAATGGAATAAATGCCAACAGTCAACTATTTATTCCTATTGCCATTTCATATTTGCTTATGCAAATGCGGGGAAGGATTTGATAGGTTTGAAATGCGAGTAATTTTTGTGTTCTGTGCATTTAGCTGTCTTGCAATTAAAATACAACTAAAAACCATTTTAATAACACAAAACTTCCACCCCGCGGGCGTATCAATGGGGAAAAAGGTGTGTTCCCATTTGGGTTTTCTGTGGAATTTCACCGAGTGTGAAGCTGAAGAAGCTGAAGGAATACAATAATTGGAAAGACTTTTCGAGGGGGAGGCATTGCACGGGCACTGTGGGCGTTATACCCCTGCGTTGGCCGCGTCGGCCATGAGAAATTTGTTCCAATAAAAAAGCAAGCGCCTGGCATGCCCCCAAGCAATTTCCAGCGCACAGCCACACAGAGACTCCACGACGAGTACGAGTATTTGGTTAGGATAATGTAGAAGGCGATGCATGCCACCACCAACACACAAAAGCTCGGCCAGCAGCTCAGGCTTTTTGGGGGCTCACTCGCTTAGGCGAACGAGCAACGGCAAACAAAGCTCATTTACACGGGAAATAGCCTAAGTGCAAAAACCATTTAAATGCAAATTAAGCACAAAGTGAAAACATGTGAACAAAGCGCCAGCACACAGACACACACACAGACACACTGCCATACGCACGCACGCACACAGTGGCATGCATGTGGCAGGCCATATACTCGAATTCGGTGGCCACGATGGCTTCGACGGTGCCACTGGCTTTGGGACCAAACTTTGGGGCTGCTCTAAATGTAAAATAGTTTAACGCTGCCAGCGCCACAACAAATGCGAAGGCACTTTTCGCCTTACAACGTTCGCCTCTGTCCAGGTTCTGATTTGAATAAATTCATATGCATAAATGGGGCACCAAGTTTCCGCCGTGGAATATGGTAGTGGCAGTGGCAGTGGCAGTGGCAGTCAACTGCAGCTGACAAAATCAACAACCTGCTTGCCGCTTGCCAGTAATTGAGTCAAAGATCCAGGTCTAAAGATTTGCGAGGAATGGCCGGTGCAGGAGCCAATGGTCCGTCCAGAAACTTCACGAGCAATTTACTCGCTGCGTATCACAGGGTCCGTGCTAATGAAGTTACCTCCGTCCAGCAGTTGACTTTGCATTGGGAGTCAGAGTCAGGGTAGTCGTTGGTCAGTTGTAGGTGCGTTAAAGCGAGCACCCGGATCCGGCACTCGCACACCAGTTGAACGACTGATGGGCTGGATGGGCAGCTGGCAACGTTCAGGAAGTAGTATGGCCTGGTGGAGTATGCCATGCGATAGTCTTTGATTATATCACACCAGACGCAATCCGGACTCAGTGTCTGTGTCTGTGTCTGTGTCTGTGTCTGTGTACTGCGTGAACCCGATGCCGGAGTTGTCCGAGTGTTTGCTTTATTTATGTGCCACAAACAAACCCGGACAGAGACCGGACACCACCACTCCCACGGGTGCTGCTGCTGCCAGTGAGTGCAACGCCCAGCTGCTGCAAATTGAGCAGCCAGCCGCAATTATTTTTCCACTGCGGCAGAGTCAAGAGTTGTTCAAACACATTCCGAATATTGGCATTTTCCCCAAGGCCCCAAACTAAAACTACATTCGAGTACTTTTTCGAGTACACTATTATTATGCATGAACACGTTAAAAATGTTATTATCGCCGCTCCATGCGTGACAATGTCTATCTCTGTGTCTGTCATTAAATATATTAATTTTCAAATCAATTTATTGATTGCTCACTGAAGCCAACCCTTTCCTATTAATACATTTCACATATAATCCGCATTTAACCCGTGGCAATCTCGGTTCCATCAATCCATAAAGCTGTGATAAATCAAGCCATTCATTCGGCAGAGAAGAGCCCTGCTCATGATACTTCATTCGACATTAGCTTGTTGATTTTGGGACCGTTTCGATGATGGCTTCATTCTTGTAAAATCTTATTAAGTTTCATTGTTGTTGCCACTGCTGGGCACTATCACCTGTCACGATGAAGTTTTGTCTGCTGCCAAGTCATCAGAGCCATAGAGTCGAACCCACATGCGGGCCACGGCCGGCCGCACTGCCCGACCTCATCATTGTGCTTACAGTTCATTTGATATTAATATAGACGCCCTCTCTGGCCAGTGGGTGTTGCTGCTGCTGCTGCTGCCGCCTCTGATGTTGCCGCTACATATGTTTTCATTTGTTTGACGCTGATGATGACAACCCTCATCAAAAGTTTGCACCGATGGCCGCTCGATTGCCCGGGCGAGTGGTCAACGGCTGTTGACAGGCCACTTTGACATCGTGTGGGTCCCTGGGTCCTGTGGCAACTGTACGTGTGGCAGAGTGTGTACGAGAGTGTGTGCGAGTGTCCTGACAGTGATACATAATTAAAAAGTAGAGGCAAGCGGGTGAATGAGATAACCATTTGGGGCGGGGGAGAGAGATCCCAGGACAAAGGCTAGGGCAACTTTTGATGCCACTCACAGATACACATATTACAGAGCACATAGCCCAGAGAGACACACAAACACACACACACACACAATTTAACTTAATGGCCAAAAGGGACAAAAGTTTGTGATTTTCAACATAAAAGTAAACAAGTTGCTTCCAGGTAATTTATTAAGCTTCGGCCCACGCCCCTCCGCCACTGTTACACAAATTGGTACAATTTTTATGGCCCGTAGAGAAGTCAAGCAAAATGAAGCAATTGAAAAAGGCAGGGGGAAAAAACCCCAGAAAGCAGAAACCAGATGAAGGTGCAAAGTCAATGAAAATCAAGTGCCACTGAGCTAAAACCCCAGCCCAATGGCAACCCTGAAGCTTCTCTGAAGCTGCAAGGGAGAAACGAAACACACATAGAGAAATCATTTGTAGTAATTGAAATCGAACAAAGCAGAAGTTTCACAGCACTAAGAGGAATGGCGGAGAAGAGAAGAGCAAAAAGCAAATGCTGAAGCTGAAGCTGAAGCTGCCACTGGGG